AGTGCCGCCCCAGGCAGTCTGTGTCGAAAGACAGAACTGCCTGTGTGTGAGCTCCCCATCCGTCTCCCAGTCTATTATCGCCGAAAGCCCTGAGCGACTGACTTTCTTTCAGTTCTACTGCTTCTTACCCATTTTTCCAAACTTGAAAGTCTGGGTTGCCTGAAGGATTCATTTTAATTTTCCTTTCCTTCCTCAAGTCTTTCTTATCTGAAAATATAGAGTATCTAGGGAAATTGTCTCTTCTCTCTTTCAGCCCTGAATTTTCAAGGTAGGATTCCTATGACTCCATAAAGACCAGTAGGAAGGAAATGGGGGAGAAAACACTTTATTGCCTTGCTTCTGGGTCTCTTTTGGATTCTATTTTTTTATGCCAACCTACACATGATTCTTAGGTTTGTTAAACTTCTAGTTTCCGTTCTACATGTAAGAAGCTGGGAAGTTGCTACGGCATCATAACAACAGTTAAAAATCTGAACAGATTGAAACATCAAAAATTCTTGTTGGATCCGTAAGAGAGAGGAGGACACAAGCTAACCACTGCCCCAAGATTGGAGAGACAGAAGGGCAAATATGGGGCATAGCAGCTTACAGGAGCAGAGACTCATAGCAGAAACCCCTGAGGGACCCCGCGCTGGGGTAGAAAATCCTAAACGTAATGATGAATTGCTGGAGGCTTAATGCAGACAAGTCTGAGGGTTAAAAGCTCCAGGGGGACTCAGTTATAGGGGACCCACAATATTTTGAGATTTATCTCCAGGAGCTCCACCAGATCCCCACAGCAAATATCAGAGAAAAATCCACTCCTGCTGCCAGTAAGGAGAGGGGAAACGGAGCCCTTTTGATATAGTATGTCAAAGCACTCTGTACTTCTTAGCAAGGCCCACCTCAGGGAAAACCGATTAACAAGAGCTTAGCCTGCTGGGGTAGTGCAGTCAGGCACCACGTAACGACATTTCGGTCAACAATGGACCACATATACCGCAGTGGTCCCGTAAGATTAGTACCACATGGCCCAGGTGTGTAGTGGGCTGTACTATCTAGGTTTGTGTAAGTGTGCTCTATGATGTTTACACAACGATGGAATCGCCTAATGAGGCATTTCTCAGAACGCATCCCCGTCCTCAAACAACGCATGACTGTATGTGATACTAACCGACCTGCGAAAGAGAAATCCTCAACTCCAGCTGCCTCTATCCTTCCATATGACAGAAGGGAAATGCCCAACTCCAGCCCACTCCAGCCATCTTGTCTCACCTAAGGTGAGAGAAAAACACGGAGAAACCTGGTGAAGTTCGCAGTCCAGAGGCGCGGGCTCACTGAAAGACTGAGACCTCACCATAGGATTGCAGAACATTTCCCCCAACTCCACACCTCACCACCACATTAGTAAAGGCGGTTACAGCAGGTCCAAAAGTTGGAAATCCTAAGCCAGAGAATGGGAGAAACTATTTGCAAAAGACACATCTGATAAAGGACTGTTATCCAAAATATACAAAGAATCTTAAGACTCAATAATAAAAAAAAAAAACAAATGATTAAAAAATTGGACAGACCTTAACAGACACCTCACCAGAGAAGATATACAGATGGCAAATAAAATATGCAAAGATACTCTGCATCATATGCCATCAGGGAAATGCAAATTGAAACAATGAGATGCCACTACACATCTATTAGAACAAGCAAAATCTGGAACACTGACAACACCAAGTGCTGACGAGGCTGTGGTACAACAGGCACTCTCAGACATTGCTGGTGGGAATTACAGTGCAGCCACTGTGGAAGAAGAGTTGGCAGTTTCTTCCAAAACTATACATATTCTTATCACACAGTCCAGCAATCATACTCCTTGGTATTTACCCAAAGGACTTAAAAAACTTATGTTCACACAAAAGCTTGTGCACAGATGTATGGCAGCTTTATTCATAATTGCCAAAACTTAGAAGCAACCAAGACGTCCAGTAGGTAAATGGATAAACTGTGATACATTCAGACAATGAAATATCATTCAGTGCTAACATGAAATGGGCTATCAAGCCACAAAAAGACACGGAGGAACCTTAAAGACATATTCCTAAGTGAAAGAAGGCAATCTGAAAAAGCTACATGCTGTATGATTCCAACTATATGACATTCTAGAAAAGACAGAATATGGTGACGGTAAAAAAATCAGTGTTTGCCAGGAATGGGCAAGAGAGAGAGAAAGAGGCAAAGCACAGAGGATTTTTAGGACAGTGAAAATACTCTATGTGATAGCATAATAGTGGATGTAGATCATTACACATTTGTCCAAACCCATAGAATGTACAACACCAAGAGTGAACCCTAAGGTAAACTGTGGACTTTGGGTGATAATGCTGTGTCAAAGTACATTCATCATTTGTAACAAATGCACCCCTCTGGTAGGAGTTGTTGATAATGGAGGAAGCTCTGCATGTGTGGGAGCAGTTGGTACATGGGAAGTCTCTGTACCTTCCTCTCAGTTCTGCTATAAAGCTACAACTGGTCTAAAAACATAAGGTGTTAAAAGTAGTTTGTTAAAAGGATGGGTGGTTTCTCCTCACGTCAATTTATGCCAAATAGGTCCTCCTATTTACTTTTGTGTCAGTGTAGGAAATAGGAGGACATCTATGGGTCTATTCCCTTTCATCAGGGACTGTCACTGTCTGGAATATAGTTCCTTTAAGTTTATTGGTATCTTCAGCATTATATGTTCTTAGTTTTTTAAAAAATTATGATTTGTAGCTTATCCAGCTTATTTGACTGTTACAGTGAGAGTGATGGTTTTCTGTAACTTTTTATATCCATATCAGAAGTACTATTTATAAACAAAGTAAAACACACCAAATATATTTTATACTACCCACAGATATGCCATTTCTGTTGCTTTTCATCCATTTATACAGATTCAAGATTACACCTGATATAATTTTCCTTCAGCCTGAAGAGAATTTCTTTATATTTTCTTATAAACCTGTTCTACTGGTGAAGAAACTTTCAGTTTGTTTCTCTCAAAAGCTTTTATTTTATTTTCATCTTTTCTGAATATATAAATCACCACCCAGGTTGACAGACTTTCCTTTTTTCTTGCAGCACTTTAACGATATTTTTCATTGTCTTCCATCTTGCTTTATTTCCAAAGAGGAGTCAGCGAGGAGTCATCCATTATTTGTGTTTTGTTCCCCTCATCTTGTTGGAATGTGTCTTATTTCTGTGACTGCTTTTAAGATTATTTTTTGTTTTTCTTTGTCTATCAGCAATTTGATTATGAGGTATCTTGGTTTGATTTTTCTTGTTTTGAGCTTGGATTTATGGGCTGCTGTTTTTCTATCACAGATTGAAAACATTTTGCCTATATTTCTTCAAATCTATTTCTACCCTACAGCCTTCTTCTGATCCTCCAATTATATGTGTGTTCGACTTCCTAATATTTTTCTACAGGTCACTGAGTGTCTGTTCACGTTTCTTTCCCCCCTTTATCATCAGTGTTTGAGAATGATTAGTATCTATTGCCCTGTCTCTACCTCCAGAGATTCCTGGAGTTCTTTCCTCTGAGAACTCTCTCCTTTCTGGTACTCTGCCCCAGAAATTCAAGCCACCCGAGACTCTGCTCTCCAGTCTCTTCCAGTATCTCTTCCACTGAATGAGGCTGCTCATGCTTTGCTTGTTGTCTCTCTTTGTGCTGTGGTTTGGAAGTGTCTCCAGGAGCAATGACAGGGTTCATTTTTTTAAATTCACTTTTCTCAAGGATCAAAGTTCTGTGCTTCCTCTTTTCCAGTGTCAGAAAAGTGTAGTTTTATATATTTTTGTACAATTTTTTTCTGTTTATTGTGGAAAGGCTAGTTTACTACTAATTATTCTGTCATGAACAGAAGAGTAAGATTATTCCATTTGTTGAGAATGAGAATTCTTATTCATTACAACCACATTTAACATCACATAAAATAGGCATAAAATAGATCAAACCTGTAAGTATGTTTCATTTAGAAAACTAGATGCATTATTTCTAGAATAATTCCATATTTCACATTTTAATCAATTAAAAATTTGATTTTCTCCAGCTGTTTAAAACTTTGTTGCTGTTTAAAACTACATGTAACTTATGAGAAGTTTTAATCATATATGTGTTAGTATTTTTATCTTTGAAGATTAACTTCAAGAGCAAATACTTAAGATCAAACTGGAAAATGAAACTGTCAAGGTGTTTTTTTTAATTAAATTTGGATAAATATAAATGCATTAAGATTTTAAGAAAAAGAGAATGACATATGATATCTTTTTGGACTCACTGTCAAGCATTTTGGTAACTACTTCCCATAAATTACCTTCAAAGATCCACATTTATATCAAATAAAACATGCTTTTGAGGAGATCAGAGCATTTGTGGTAAATGTTAGTCTATTTATTTTTGGGAATAAGATCCTATATTTGCATTTAGGATATGGCGGATGTACTATGCTCAAGCTAGTTTGTAAAACATGAATAAAATTTAATCAAAAATTATTTTCAAATATCGTGCCATAAGATTAACAATAACAAATATTGTTTCTTATTGTTTCTACCCAGACTAGTAACTTGAAATACTTGCAAATCCTTTATGGCTTTAAGCTTTTAAACTTATAAGATGTCTTTCAGGGTTTAAGGGACGTTTTCTTGAACTCCCATCCTTCAATCTGCACTTAATGTCTCTTTTTTGTACACCCATGGACTACCTTGGGGAATATTTCAAAAATAGCACTTTATTTACAGAATTGTAATGATCTATTGACTTCTTTGTTTTTCCCATTTGATTTTAAATCCCGCAAGGCCATGAATGGTATATTTTTCATCCTGGTGTCCTTTACAGCCTCCAATACGGAATGGATATTTTGTACTTGTTTATTAAGTAAACAAATAGTTTCTGTATTCCAATTTGTATTAAAAAGGTTATGCTAGTATATTAGAATATGAACATTAGTCAAATGATGGGATGCTAACATATTCTGTGTCTTCTCTTACAGGCTCTTAAATCTGATCTACAATGGAAAAATTTCTTTTTTATCTGTTTTTCATTGGCATAGCAGTGAGAGCTCAGATCTGTCCAAAGCGTTGTGTCTGTCAGATTTTGTCTCCTAATCTTGCAACCCTTTGTGCCAAGAAAGGGCTTTTATTTGTTCCACCCAACATTGACAGAAGAACTGTGGAATTGCGGTTGGCAGACAATTTTGTTACAAATATTAAAAGGAAAGATTTTGCCAATATGACCAGCTTGGTGGACCTGACTCTATCCAGGAATACAATAAGTTTCATTACACCTCATGCTTTTGCTGACTTACGAAATTTGAGGGCACTGCATTTGAATAGCAACCGATTAACTAAAATTACAAATGATATGTTCAGTGGGCTTTCCAATCTGCATCATTTGATATTGAACAACAATCAGCTGACTTTAATTTCTTCTACAGCATTTGATGATGTCTTTGCCCTTGAGGAACTGGATCTGTCCTATAATAATTTAGAAACAATTCCTTGGGATGCCGTTGAGAAGATGGTTAGCTTGCACACCCTTAGTTTGGATCACAACATGATTGATAACATTCCTAAGGGGACTTTCTCCCACTTGCACAAGATGACTCGGCTAGATGTAACATCAAATAAATTGCAGAAGCTACCGCCTGACCCTCTCTTTCAGCGAGCTCAGGTACTAGCAACCTCAGGAATCATAAGCCCCTCTACTTTTGCATTAAGTTTTGGTGGAAACCCTTTGCATTGCAATTGTGAATTGTTGTGGTTGAGGCGTCTGTCCAGGGAAGATGACCTTGAGACCTGTGCTTCGCCAGCACTTTTGACTGGCCGCTATTTTTGGTCAATTCCTGAGGAAGAGTTTTTGTGTGAGCCTCCTCTCATCACTCGTCATACACATGAGATGAGAGTCCTGGAGGGTCAAAGGGCAACACTGAGGTGCAAAGCCAGGGGAGACCCTGAACCTGCAATTCACTGGATTTCTCCTGAAGGGAAGCTTATTTCGAATGCAACAAGATCTCTGGTGTATGATAATGGAACACTTGACATCCTTATAACGACTGTCAAGGATACAGGTGCTTTTACCTGCATTGCTTCCAATCCTGCTGGGGAAGCAACACAAACGGTGGATCTTCATATAATTAAGCTCCCTCACTTACTAAACAGTACAAACCACATCCATGAGCCTGATCCTGGGTCTTCAGATATCTCCACTTCTACTAAGTCAGGTTCTAATGCAAGCAGCAGTAATGGTGATACCAAAATGAGTCAAGATAAAATTGTGGTGGCAGAGGCAACATCGTCTACGGCACTACTTAAATTTAATTTTCAAAGAAATATCCCTGGAATACGTATGTTTCAAATCCAGTACAATGGCACTTATGATGACACCCTTGTTTACAGGTAAGAAAAGTTAAGCACATTTTTATACTCAATAACCGTCTTAGTGTAGGACTTGTTACTCCACGACTGATTTCTTTTTAATTGGCAGTGCTACCCTTTTTTGTAATGATAGTACTCCATTTTTTAAAGAATATAATGTGAGGCTTGTGAAAGGTGAATACATATGGGGATATATTTTGAATGGTGTTATTTTTAGAGAGTTCAAATTTATATTTAATATTATGCTTGCTTACTTTTTTCCCCTCATCTAAGAGATGTGACTATCAGAGAACAAGATTGATTTATTTTAAAAATTCAAAAACATACCAGAATTTACACATCCACAAGAGTGTTCTTTCCTTCAAGGAAGTCACGTTGGGAGGCTATTCCATTATCCCAATGATGCTGCCATTGCTCAAAGCACTTTTGGAATTATCTTTAGAACCTTCGTCATACTATTTTGAATATCCTCAGTGGTGGCAAATCTTCGTCTTTTGAGGGTGAATTTGAATTTTGGAAACAAGCAAAAGCCATTTGGAGCCAAGTCTTATGAATAAGGTGGGTGATCAAGATGGGTGTTGCCATTTTTTGGTCAAAAATAGTATGTAACTATAAAATAATGAGACTGATTTTTTGAGTGATTGAGTTACGTGTGTGTGTGTGTTGTCTCATGTACCCTGGTTCTTAAGACAGTTCCAAAGAGAAAGTTCGCAAATATTTTGAGCAGTGAAAGTATCGCTGGAGTTAAGTATGTCATCTCCGGATAAGGACATTGATGGAGAATTTGCATTTGAGTAAAGGATTTCTGGTATGTTTTTCTAAAGTTGAGCCTCATTGATTTATAGTCACATCTTGTCCAATTTTCAGTTGGAAATACACATTTTTACCCCTCCATATAATTTCAGTCATGATAGACTATTATTACTCCTAGGAAACGATGCAAAATCATGGCTTTGAAATATATATATATATATTTTTTGTCTTTATGCTTTTCTGAAATCAGATCAACTCAGTTCTTATATACCCAGATGAATTCTTGAAGATAATTTGATTTTCACTCATGTATGGAAATTTTTAGAAATGAGCATGAGCTGGTAGAAAACAACAAAACTGGCCTAGCTAGCCATGTGATCGATCCTGGGCAAGGTTCTACCTGGCTGAGTTTTAATTTCCTCATCTTTAAAAGGAAGAGATTAGAGTGAATGGTTTCTAATACCCCTCTCATTACTAAATGTTGGGGATGTCGACTCTGATGCATGTATATTAGCACAAAGTAGCTTGCCCTAGTCATACTCTTCACCCAGGCTATCGGTTATTTAGCCCGTTGTCAAAGACCAGCATCCACCCCCACCCCTCCCCTTCCTGCAGCTACTGGACATTCTATATATTTTAAGCATTAATTCTGTAACATAGGGCAGTTAGTTTCTATTTTCCAAATTCCAAGGTTTTAATTCTTCCATGACAAGTAAATTCTATGTGACCTTGAGGACATTGCTTGTATTCCTGACCCTACTGTTTGTCATGTGTAAAATAATGATAATGCTTACTTTGTATGGTCACTGTAAAAGTTAAATCATAATGTATATAAAGTGCTTAGTAATGCCTCGTATTTATCATGCACTCACTAAATGGTAGTGATTTCAATCACAAATACATATTCTGGCCTAAAAGTTTCTTGGAACATTTAGAATACATTGTGTAGGTTGTATAACAGTTTAGCATGGGCAAGTTTTGAAATTCCTAAAACTCTCTTTCAGGGAAAAAATACAGTTTCAAACCTTTTTTTCCAAATTAACTCTTAGTCTAGGTCATATTTGGTTGCTACTAAGAAAAAATTAGTGGAAAACAGGCATCCACAGAAACTTTTGTGATACAATGGATTCAGAGTTGTCTATAAACTCTTATCAAACTGTAGAAATTTGTGCTGAAGGTAATTTCATCAGCCCACAATGGGGAGCACGAGGGGTTTATGTTCTGGTCAACAGCCTTGCCTTGTTCGCGTTTCTAGGACAATGTTACCCATACATTTTCATCTACCTCATTTATAGATAAAAGCATATTGGGAAGCAAGTGTTGAAGGCATCAGAGAGGGCTGAGATCTGTAGATAAAGTACTTAAATCTTAGTAATTATCTTAGTTATTAAAGATAGATTTACTCGGTATCATTCCATAGCAGGTTATAACTGATTTGGAAAATAAATACTCCGAAATGCATTTCCATTCTGGCTTCTAATGTGATTGTCAGTGTTTTCCCTTCCTTCAAATTGGCTTTTAGTCACAGAGGTGTTGTAAGTGCTAAATGGATTTGTTTAGTAGTCAGATAATGTCACAGTCACACCCTTCAAAAGCAATTTGTCATAAATGATTTTTTAGAGGTGGTTTTTATTAGGAGTTCTGCTTTGCCAAGCAATGTAATTAGTAAGCTTGTCAAGGCATGGTGCAGGCACCATTAATATAATGCAGAATCCAGCAATGACTTTTAGACGTTTTAACTGGGTAAATATAATAAGATTAGATCATTTTCCCATATTTCATATCTGTTATACGTGTGCTTATCTTAATGAATACTGAAATGAACAGAACTGAAGTCATACTGACTGTGTGTATGTATGTTTTGTTCTGTTTTTAATATTAACACAAATTCCATTGTCCCTCAGAATGATACCTCCTACGAGCAAAACTTTTCTTGTCAATAACCTGGCTGCTGGAACTATGTATGACTTGTGTGTCTTGGCAATATACGATGATGGCATCACTTCCCTCACTGCCACAAGAGTCGTGGGTTGCATCCAGTTTACTACGGAACAGGATTATGTGCGATGCCATTTCATGCAGTCTCAGTTTTTGGGAGGCACCATGATTATTATTATTGGTGGAATAATTGTAGCATCCGTACTGGTTTTCATCATCATTCTAATGATCCGGTATAAGGTTTGTAACAATAATGGGCAACACAAGGTCACCAAGGTCAGCAATGTCTACTCTCAAACTAATGGGGCTCAAATGCAAGGCTGCAGTGTGACGCTGCCCCAGTCCGTGTCCAAACAAGCTGTGGGACATGAAGAGAGTGCGCAGTGTTGTAAAGCCGCCAATGACAGTGTTATACAATCTGCAGAAACGTGCGCGAGTCAGGACTCCTCTACCACTACCTCTGCTTTGCCTCCTACCTGGACTTCAAGCACTTCTGTGTCCCAAAAGCAGAAAAGAAAGACTGGCACAAAGCCAAGCACCGAACCACAGAGTGAAGCTGTCACAACTGTGGAGTCCCAAAACACGAACAGGAACAACTCGACTGCATTGCAGTTAGCTAGTCGACCTCCTGATTCTCTCACAGAGGGGCCCGCGTCCAAAAGAGCACATTCAAAGCCAAGTAAGTTTCTCACTTTGCCTGCTGAGAGAGCCCGAGCGAGGCACAGGTCCTCCCTGAACGGAGAATTAAAGGAATGCTCTTGTTCCATTCACTCACCGAACCCATGTGGACTGTTGTCTAAAAGAAGTGTGTCTATGAATGTGATGTTAATTCAGTCCAACAGTTCTCATGGCCCTAGTGCAAAAGCGACTCTTTCAAATGCTGAGTGGATAATGGAAAGCACTGTGTAATTTATTCTTTCTTTTCAGTGAAAAAATTATTTTGAGAACTCACATAGGAAATTGGGGTTTGGAATTCCAGTCTTGTCTCTCTGAGACCTGGCTAATAGAGTCAAGGTGTATAAACCTTCTAGGGTATAGTTACCATATGTGTATATATATATAGAGAGAGAGAGGGTGTATATATATATACACATATATATGTAACACATATAACATGGTTTAAGAAAAAAAGCATGACATAGCAGCAGTGCCTTCCCCTATTCTAAGACTGGCTTCTGGGGTCTGCAATAGCAGATCACAAAATGAAAGTTGTCATAGGAAAAAAAAGTCTTGCATATTTCCTCCAGTCTTACAAAGGACCACCTATGGAGGATTGGTATTTTTCGATGAGAAGATTGTATATTTTCTTTCAATCACAATGTTTTTTGTTTTTAGGCAAATATTGTGGAGAACAACTCTGTGTTATGTTATTTAAAATAAAATACTCAATAAGTATACCCAACGGAGTTAAAGAAAGCACCCTTCTAAACAATATTCTTGATTCAGATGCCTTAATGATTCTATGATATTTCTCATCTATGACACAGCTTTTTCCATGGGAAGCAGAAGAAAATACAATGGATTTTACATTTATCAAAAAATCCAATTCAGTTTTAAGTCACACGCCACAATTTCATATGCACATACCTGGGCATATGAAGATGTTTTCATTCATTCAATATACATTTGCTGAATGAATGTTTTATTTTTTTCATTTTTTTATGAGGAAGATTGGCATTGAGCTAACTTCTGTTGCCGATCTTCTCTTTTTGCTTGAGGAAGATTGTTGATGAACTAACATCTGTGCCAATCGTCCTCTATTTTATGTAGGATGCCACCACAGCGTGGCTTGATGAGTGGTGCTAGGTCCACGCCCCGGATCAAACTTGTAAAGCGGGCCTCCAAAGCAGAGCACACGATCTTAACCACTACACCACCAGGCCAGCCTCGAGTTTTGTGTTTTTATTACTGCAAGTTAAAAAGGGGGACAAAAAAGTCCTTTATCAAAAAGATGTTTATTTTCATCATCAAGTAAAATAAAAAACTTTTGATGGAGTTCTCATTACATTTATAAGCAATATAAAGTCATCGCTCATTAATCAGGTAGTGGTTTCCTTTTTCCCCTCTGCACTGCGATTCTGAATTTGACTGTTTCTCTTAGAGTAAATGCATTTATTGCTTTAACCAAAACCTGTGATGAAATTTAATTACAAATGCAGCTTTGTGATAATACATCATTAAAAGAAAGATTTTTAAATTTAGTCAGACAGCAATATTGCTCCTTGATAATAAGCCATTCTTGGACATTCACTGAGATCCAGGTCTGTAGATAAGTGTTCCTATGTACTCCTTGAAAATCTTACAGCACGATGTGCTAACTTGATGACGTCTTATTCCAGATCGGTAAACGGAAGTTAGCTTTAAGGCTTTTGGTGGGATTTTTGTTTGTTTGGTTGGATTTTTTTAAAATAATGCTCATGTGGGAACTTTTCACAAAAAATTTTAGCCATAATATAATAAGGTATGTACTTTATTTATATAAAATACTCCCTGGGAGTAAGTTAAGTACGCAGTAAAAGTTTATTAACTCTTTCAGATCACTGGAAATGCCATTTAAAACACAAATGAGGAATGTCAATCCTTAGTTTAATTTCCTCCTGCTAGAGGCATATATAAAAATTGCAGTTAATTTTAACTTGACCGAGCACATCTTATCTTCCATGATTTATCGTGATGACATTCAGAATCAGGTAAGATGAAAGCAAGTAGAGATCACTTTCCGTGCCTGTCTGGAAGAAAATGATCTGATGGACTCTCATGCCCTTGGGTGTTTCCTAAATGCTGAGTCCACCCTGCATCCCTTTCTGGAATTTGTCTTCCAGGACAGGAGATTGTCCTGCACAATCTCATCAGCCTTCAGGGGTCAAGACTGTAGCTCTTGGGAGGAATAATGAGATCACACGTGTGGTAGTAGTTTGTAAAATCAAAAGCATCGCTCAAAGCGAAGTGGATTTTCGACATTGTATCTGTCATAATGCTCTGACACCAACTAAAGATTCTTAACTAATGTCATTACTTAGTTCTTCACGAGGTGCCGATTGACAAAAACATATTACTTTCCCCCTTCCTAGTTTTCACCTCCATAGCATTGAAAAGTCCTGAATGTATAGTAAAAGCTTTCAAGACTTAAATGAATCCCCAGAGAAGGAATCTGGGCTTCTGAAGGTTGTGATCAAGGGGACTCTGAAAACACACAGCATAGGCCGCAGCTTAGCAGGTCTACTCCGAGCTACTGCTTGGCTTACTGTCTATCTTTCAGTTGCCTGTATTTTTTAAAATCAATTCTCTGCTTATGTTTCTAATGAAGCTTTATTTAAAGATCTTTTATTTCTGATAAACATTTAGAACTCTATAATATCTAATCATGTGAAATGTATTCTGTTTGACTAAAGCCATCGAAACCATTTAAATTTTTATTACATTTACAAGACTATTTTCAGGATGAATTAACCAAATCCTTGAACATTTGTTCTTAGAAGTGATAAGAAGGGCTGTGTACTTGTTTTTCAAAAACTTTGTATTTTGAGAGATCAACATAAGATTGGCCTATCAAATGTTTTTTTGGTTTTTTTTTTAAAGTATATGAAAAAACTTTTGCTCAGGGCTGTTTTGGTGTGCAGTGACTGAAAAATAAATCTGTGGGACGGTTCCAGGTGCTTAAAAGTAACTGGAATACTGTCTGAAACACAATAGTTCTTCAGATGAATGAACAAGTGAATGGATAGATAAATAAATGAACGGGTAAATAAATGAATGAATGAATGGGGCCAGGGAGGAAGGTCCAGTAATACGAGCTTTGATTCATTAGCACGATAGACATTTGTGGTCCAGACATTATATTGCTACAAGCAAGAAATTCTCTGTCTCTTTCTAGTTTTCTTCCTGTCATTTCTTGCATTCCTCGCTGAACCAGCAGTATGTATATACATATATATATGTGATCCAAAGCACATGGTTTGCTGATTGTCGTTGCTGACTATGTATGGGTTATATATATAGTTTTTGATGCCTTATTCTTAATTACTTTTCTTTCATTTTAGCCATTTTGCACTATGGTTTCAGCTTGTTCAAGATGAAAACAAACTAAGAAACAATGTATTTCCAGATCTTTACTCCAAACTTTTTTTTCTTACTTATATGTGTTCCTGTGTTGTTTCCTGTTGCTTTTGGATAATTGTCCCCAAATTTGAAAATGTCAAACTACTATTAAAGTAGGTGTTTTTTTTAATGTATGTAATATCTGAATGTCATAAAGGGATAATGAAGCTCCCTCTAAATCCTAAGAGGAAACAAAGTTTGGTTTGATGAATATTATTTATTTTTAGCCTACAAATAGATTAATACAGAGGAACATTAAATGCAATAATTTAAATTTGATACCATAACACTCTCACTATGACCAATTTATTTCCTATATTTTTCCCAAGTAGTAAATGTAGTTAGTTAAGCTGACGTCACAGTAAGCTATTTATGCTTTCAGACAGTTGATTTTAGCTGCTTTGAAGATATATTTTATTTTGAAAAATAGGTTTTTGAACTATTAAAAGGCATCTATAAACATAAAAAGGCTGCTATCTCAATGATACATACGTTCTCCACAAGAATTTAAGTAATTTTTAAAAAATTAAATGTATTCCGCTTGTCTATAGGGATTGCTTTTTATCATTTTTTTATGAAGTATTTTCTACTTCACTTTAAAGCATTCGGAATTCTTAACTTCCAGACTAAATTTTAACTATTTTATTTGTATTTCTCAAAGGAAACTAAATATTTCATTTATAAAGTTAATAAACTTAGTAGAACCATTATCACCAATTTTACATCCATTGCCTTTTAGTTGCTAAATTTTGGTATTTTCCCCTCTGTCTATTCACAATAGTAAACTTAAAAACAATCGTTAAAATGCCAACAGTTTAAAAAATTCCGAATACGTAAAACATCTTATTGTACATAGAATTGTGAAGGTAAACGGAGCGTTATTTCAAAGAAGCCTGCAGATAGGAGCCCTTGTCTTCTTGGTGTGGCGGAATTCCAGTCCCATTTTATAATGCTGAGAAAGCAGTGCTCATTTATGTACCGCAGAATGAAGACTCTCTACTCTCTTTCCCTGCTCAGCCTTCCCTTGGTCTCAGGAAGAGTCCAGTCTTTCTCCTTCATCAGTATCTGTGGATGCTTCCGTGTGTGAGTGGCGTGAAGGGTTCTGGGGAAAGGACTTCAGCACAGAGGTGGATTGGATGGGAAAGGATATTTTTCTCATCATCCTCGGATGAGGATGATGATGATGATGATGATAACTTACCTTATTATGTTTGGAAGTTAAATGTTAGTTGAGTTAAATTTATGGATAAGGAATCTCTCATTTTTAAAATGTCGTAGAGAAAATAGCCAAAATTAATGACACAATTTTGTAATAGCTTCATAGCTCTGTCTTTCTGATTACTCAGTCCTTTCCCTCTTGTGCTAGATAATAAATATGTGCTGGGATTACAAATGCAGTTGGTTTTTGTCAGGTTTGGTTTGTCCCTTTGTTTATTTGTTTTGCAGCAGAGCCAATCCTTCTTGTAGCAGTACAGAAGATCGCTTAATGTAGAAAGAATGGTAAACATAAACTGTGATTGAGTCAGCCTAAAATCGTGGTGTTATCTGATGTGGGACATAGAGAGGAAGAGTTTGTAACTGGGAGTATATTTAAGTGTGAAATTACCTCATTTAGGTAATATTAGTGCATTTGCAGTTTTATCAAATATTACAAATAGTCAGTATAAAAAATAATTAGGGTACCATTGTCTTCTGATTTTGGTCAGCTATTTCAAAGTCAAAATTTAGTATCTAAAGTTACCATTGAATAAAATACATATGCTGCATATATTTGTATATCTATTTATGTAGATAGAGATATATGTAACATAGAGATATACTAATATATGTACTTATAAAATTTATCATTTAAAATCATAATTTTGTGTCCTGAAGCATGGATTGTAATTACTGTAACAAAATCACATTTAAATGGACTGGCTATAAGAGAACTTCTCCCAGAACAACTGTACAAACTATGTTTATTTATCAGATTCCAGTGGAATATAAAGTCTCTAGTACAAATTTATTTTTCTGAACTTCCTAACGATAACCTTCTCTACAATATTCATCCATCCTTTTCAAAGAGGTGACTGTTATGTTCATGAATTTTAAAAACAAATATTTTCCGATACATTCAGGGGAAAGCTGTGAAGTCCCTTTCATTTTGTGTTTGGAAATGGAGGCACATTTAATCTTGCCTGAAACATGAGCTGGATGAATAGTGTGGTTCTGCTCCAGAATATATCCAATAAATTAGTGCTCTAGGGGCTTGTGAAATATACTATGTTGGCTCTACCATAATGTAATTTCCTGATCATTTTCTTCTGTGTAATGTGAACATGTCTTATAACTGCTTTCATGTAAAACCTAATCTCCAAAGGCCATTGTAAGTTTATATGAATATTTGTGCTAGAGGTTTTATAAAAAAGTATTCTGTACTATTCTTGTCACACTCACCTGTGACCCCTGAGAACAACTTTTTCCTGAGACACCTAATTTTTCCTTATCCTTGTGTCACTTGTTAATGACTAGGAGTATTTGCTTACAAAGAGGACATTTTGGAAAGAAATAGAATGTGTGCTATGCAAGGCTATGGAATGATATTAAACATTTGCAGCCAATTGGAACATATGTATGGACTTTTAAAGGCAGAATATTTGCGTTTAGAACATTACTGTTTTATATAAGGATAAATGGGTACTCAGTAAAACATGCTATTATTTGGGGAGGTTACTGCATAATAGTTTATATTTAAATGATCATTTTATGCTGTGCGTGGTAATATGGCGAAATGACATTTCCTGCTCTGGATTTTTATTTTTTTCTTGATGCATCTTTCCATATTAACCATATGCAACTCTGTAGTAGAAATGTTAATTTTGCAAAGGGAAAATGAATAGAAGCCTAATTCTCATACTGAACTTTGGCCAGAAAAGCACATTCCATATTGATAATTATTTATTGTAATAACTAGAAAAATATTTTTAAAAATTCTACCTTTATAGTATAATATGTCAGGAAGTAGTCATAGAGAACTACAAATTATTATAAAAGTCAGTTGCAATTAACCCAAGAACTGGTAAGTTAAAAGAAAAGTCTAGATAAATCTTTGTTAAGAGAAATCTTATCAAGATTTCAGTGAGAAATGTTTTCAGGTCTGTTTCTTAATAAAAGAATTGTTCATGACACTACACATTTTATTCCCAGATGCTTTGCCTGACTAATGTTGACCAGATTGTCCAGGAAACACAGGTGAGATCCTTGTTACCTGTCGCATTCTTCAGCACTTAAGTGGGCATAGTCTTTTATAAATGAATTTTTAATTTTTGTTTTACTAGCTTATTTGGCTTGTGGAAATTTTCCGTTAAAACTTGCTCAATGGTAAAGACTGGAGTTCAGTTTGGCTAAGTGAATTTCTAGTTCCCAAGTTTAGACATATTTCTGGTTGTGACATTTCCAATTCATACAGTAAGAGCAATGGGAATGTGGTTGTGACTGTGGAGTCCCTCTTGGAGTCATGCCTGATATCATGTGCATTTTTACAAATACTCCCCAACGTGAAGACCGTAGCTTGATAAGAATGTCCTCATCCTTGACCTCCACATCCTCATAGGAGCAAAGGTGATCCATTTTGCCTTGCTGAAAGTGGATGAACAGGACTGTCTCACTGTTATCTAAAATGAATGAACCCACTATAAAAGGTAGCAAAAGACTACACATGAAATATTCATGGTATTCCTTTTGTCAGCAACCAATTACTCTTCTTGGTTGCGGGGTTTGTTTGGTTTTTTTTTTGAAGTTTCAAATGAGTATTTGATTCCTGCATTTTAATTGGATCAGAAAGTGTGTTTCCAGAGCAGAATAGCACTTTAGCAATCTGTTCAAACAGCTGGAAGCATCAACCATTTGCTTAAGGTTTGGCACAGAAAAATTATTCTGCTCTTAAAAGTTCTAAAAACGGCCACTGATTTATTTGTGGGTAGTAAAAATAGGGTCTTGTTTATTTTAAATTTCATATTTAAAAGATAATAACTGGGACAATCATTCAGGGTTTTCCCTAATGAATTTCATTCTGAATCAAAGAAAATGCTTTTCATGCATCATTTCTTTACCAAATTTAGGATCCCTTTCCTGTGTTGCAAAAATTGCACAGATGCCTCACTGGAAACAATCAATAGCACAGTGTCGGGCACACGCTTTGTCTTCTGTGTTGTGTCCTGAACTGACCTGCCTGAAGGTGCATTGTCCCACAATCACCCTCTGCTTCTCTTTCTGGATCTTAACTTCTCTCTCTCTTTCTCTTCCTCCCTCCCTCTCTGTCTTCCTTCTTCCCTAACCTCCCTCGCAGTTGTTGACTTTAAAAAGTTCATTTATCATGTAACTTTGGACACCTAGCTGTTCGGAAAGTTAGGATATCTTTAGAAAGGGATAAAGAAGGACATGGTTAATCTATCAGAAGCACGATCCACAATGGTGCTAAATGTTATATCAAGCTCTGGAAGCAGGAGAGTCGATCTGAGTCATTTTTCAATTACCAGTTAATTTCCCAAATATTCACATTTCATGGGACATGTTACATATTATAGTGTTTATTTTTTACTTAACCACATTGTAGAAGTCAAATTTAGAGAAAAGTCATCTCCTGGGAGTTTGCGTACTACAGGAGATGGCACAGGGTTTGCCAATGTGATGAGTAAGTCAGTTTTCTGATAATGACTTTCTTTGTCTTAAAATAAGTCATATTAATTATAGAAGGTTTGGAAAACACAGCTAAAAGTAAAAGGTAAGTATAAATCTGTTATAATCCACCACTTAGGCACAAATACTAACAATCTGGTGCATAACCTTTCAGTGACTTGTCATTTCTATATGTAGTAAATTCATGTGCATATATGTGTGTTGTGTATTAGATTTACAGAATGAATATATACACGCGGAATGTCACCTTTTTAAAAACTTTATGCTTTTTTCTTTAGTTCCCTTTCTGAAACAGATGACTATGTCATAATGTCATAGAAATGTCCTTCCATGCTTTGGCTAATTTTTCTTTCTTTCCACAAGCATTACAAGAAAAATAAATCCACGAGCAAAGAATAATTTTATCAAAATTTAGTGGCAATGCATCATTCACACGTTAGCCAACTCCTTGCTACGTTTCCAGGATGAGATTTAAGTCACCCTATGACCTCAGGGTACCTGTTCTTGGTACTCGGTAAACGCTTTCTGCTCTAGCAGGCCTATCCTTCGAACTGCTGTCAGCACAACCAAACAGGGAGGCCCCTTTGGAGAGATTGTGACCTGCGTGCTCTTGGGCTGCTCGCGGCCTTCCACACCACCAGCAGTCCTTTGCCGCGTGTGAAGGCCCTGAGGTAGAGCGCCGGAAGAGATTCCTCCTGCTCACGGCTTCTCAGCTCTTTTTAGGGGAGGATATAAAATTTTATTTTCCCTTTGTATTTCCTGCAGGAAGATAACATATGGCTATTCCTACCCAGAGGAAAAATATATTTTCCAATAATTTGGATATTGCCCGATGCATTACATTTAAATTACAATGCTCCCTGTGTATATAGACAGTAAAAGTAAGCAAGAAAACTTACAACACATTTCTTTTTTTAATATATCAAAAATGTTTCCAAGGCAATGATATTAAATTGATTATCCCTCAGTCCCTGATATACCTTCTAATAGGAAGGTACAGAGAGGGCAGAAGGGCTCGTCCGATCAGCGGCTCAGGTGTTCTTCATACTGAGGTGGCTGCTAAGACGCGTTTTTTTTTTTTTTTTCCCTAAGGGTAAAGAGTTAATACGTTAATTTTATTTCCAATAGACAAAATATGCCCTATGCCAATTTTCTTCCCTAAGACCCTTCCTGCGTACGTATAGAAATAGAGCGAGCCGAAAATATTTAGTCTATCACATACGATCCTTCTATAATAAAATCATTAGATTCTAGTCACACTAAGATGAATTGAGAGCAAAGGGGAGAGGAATCATTGATAAACTTGGTGATAACTATTCTGCATGTAAACTGGCACTTACATATAAATTAACCTTATGTTTGAAAAGATTTTTATGCGTAAAGTGAACCCAGTAAAACAATGGATAGGCCATGTTCGGCAGTTAAAATAGAACAGTTGACTAGGTTGCATTTATACTGAAAATGCCTTAAGTAAAATTTCTTAAAAGGTATTTGTTGTCTTCAGACCAAGAAAATTTGTATACATTTTGTATGTGTACAAGTATGCACAAAAACTACCATTTATTCCATGATTGCTTGCACCAGCCTTTAAGATAATTGCTTCCTGATTTTAATAAATTTGACTTCTGATTATTCTGTGTTTAGTATCAATCAAGTTATTTTAAAAATGTAAACTTTGTCATAAAATCTCTGCTGCAAATGCAATGATCATGAAAGGAGTCCAGTTCTTTTAGAGAAACTATTAATATATAAGTGAATAAAAAATTAGTAATATTGATTATAAATGAACAGCAATATTTAAATTATGGGAAAATACAGGATTAGGAAAATATATGAAATAAGAGGTAAACAGCAAAGCAAATGTGTGTATATAATCCAGATATCTTTCCAGTGTTTTGTCCAAGCAACAATGACCAATAAAAATATTTGGTTCTCCAGTGTTTTTTTTCTATGATATGCCCTTCAAGTGAATTTTTAAAAAATAAGAGTGATAGAATAGGCACATATGTAGAAAACATTTAGCTATTTTTGTAATAATTAAAGCACACTTTTTGACATTTATTTGAACGTTACAGAAAAGAAGAAAAAAAGTAGAACCCTAGCATTAGCAATGACCCTTAGAAATCATTTCCTTCTGTTTTAGATATCCTAACTGTACAAGATAAAAATCTTTCAAAGTTCCTCATTCCATTCAGAGTAAGGGCATTAACAGCATTTTCCCACAATCCATTCAGTGTCAGGACATTTTTTCTTCTCTTACTGTCGAGATAAAGCTTTCCTCTTTTCTTTGTGGTAGGGTTAATAAGGCTGTCTGTCCACAGGGCTTTGCATGATACCCTTTCACTGTTAAATGAGGACAGTTACCAAAACATACTGAACTTACCTCAAATTCATTATTTTTAGTTCTTGTAATATTTTAGTATAATTATTATAGTTTATCTTTTTTTCTGTGTGATGCCCTTGTAATTCTGTGTTCCATATTTAGATCTTTATGGAATAATTGTATGAGTTTGTCTATTGATAAGTAAAGTAAAAAATGTTACTTTGAACATCCTACATGCATGTTTTGTTTTTGCTTTTGAGGAAGATTAGCCCTGAGCTAACATCTGCTGCCTATCCTCTTCTTTTCTTTGCTGAGAAAGACTGGCTCTGAGCTAATATCCATGCCCATCTTGCTCTACTTTATATGTGGGACGCCCAACACAGCATGGTGTGTCAAGCAGTGCCATGCTGCACCCAGGATCCGAACTGGCAAACCCCGGGCCGCCAAAGCAGATGTGCGCACTTAACCCCTGCGCCACCGGGCAGGCCCACTACATGCATGTTTGTATTCGGCTTCATATTGTGTCATCATTTCCATAATGGTAGTAGCCTCAGGGCAGGCGAATTCATGCTATAGTTCCCAAAACTAATTGCTATTTCCTAATCTTCAAAATTAACAGCTTTTATATAAACCATAACTCCACAGCTTGTTAATAATGTTATTATGTAATGTGAAATTGAATAAAAAGCTCTTTAAGATATTTCAACTTATAGAGTCTTTAACTTGATATTTAAATAGTTTGTTATTCTGGAAGGATTTATTATTTCCAAAGTTAAGCTAGTTATAATCTCCACTATATTTTTCTTCTAAGTATATTTAGTCTTGTCTATATTAGTACTTCCTGAAACTTGAGCTTCAATATAATACAATTACATCTTTTTTCTTTCAAAGGGCATACATTATTGAAAATACAAAAAGAAATTAAAAACTTGTTGCTATCCAGTTTCACCAAAATAAGCTAAGCCCTAAACCGAACAGATATATCTCACAATAATTAAAGTGATTTTGAAATGTCTTTCTTAGAATATTCCAGGTAAAGTATGACAGTGACATCTATTTTTCAGTAGTTTCCAAGGTAGTTGTTTTCTACAAATAGGATACACATCTATCAACTACTAACAATCTTCAAACGTTGTATAAATCCCTTGTTCAGTAATCCTCAAAAATTATTGTTTGTGCCAAAAAGAACTTGACTTATTCAGATTATCAAGTACTTTGAAATATTTTCTTAAATACAATATCTCTACAGTATTTTGCCTACTTTTATGACATAAAGTTATCCAAATCTGTTCTGCATCAGCATTTTGGTGTAGAATATTCAGCAGTTAAGGGAGAATCTATATTTCCTGATTCATTTGTGCCATGCATTTTATAAGCCCCAGCTTCTAAACATGTAGTTGTTTTTGAATGGAAAGGAGAAAAGTTACTTTTATTTCATATTTATAAAATTGTGTACTTCTCAAAAATTATTTTTCATCTTTGTCAAGGATAGACTTTATAGATATATCTTAAATCCATGAATACTGAGAACCCATATTAGAGGAAAAACATTTTCACAGCTTGATAATTAAATACTTTTTAAATGGCTTTTTTATAATTTTCTTTCAAAATCATGTTAACTATGGAATGCCCTTGTGAGTTATTGTCAGTTTCCATATTTATTTCATTTGTTCTGTGGATGAAGAACTAGTTAATGAAGACGAGCCATAGTCTTCACTATCATTATATTTATAATTAAATTTCATAAGATTTTAAGATGATACAAAACTCCCAAGAGAAGATATAAAAAAGTAGCAATCACTTAGATTTTAGATGTGATGAACAAATTTGATCTAATATGTTCATATTTTGAAAATCAGTATGAATATTTGTTAAAACTGAAATGGTATGTATTAATAAATAAAATCATTTTTTTTCTCTTAACTTGAGAATGTAAACATGGAAACCAAAGCAGGGGAAAGTGCCATTCTACAATTTGGCTTTGACTTGCATAACTATTTAGGCTTATTACACTTAGATTCCTTTTTAAAATGAAATTCTTTTATATGTTCACCAATTTAGAAGCACCAAGCAACATTTGAAGAGCTGATGTGCACGTCTAGATAGTTTTCAGCAGTGTATCTTATATTTTATAGCAATAACCTCCTGCCTGGCTGCTTATAGTTCAGTAACTTCTAGATTGCTAGCACAATGATCTTATTAGATTTGTGTTTTTTTCTTTTTTTCCTTTTTTTTTTCCCTTTCATTTCAGAGGCTGGAGTTAATCTGAAGAGCATCACTTCTCTCCCTCCTGAAAAAAGTTGCCACTGATATTTTTACTGGATAAAATTAAAAAATGTTTCAATTCACAAAGGCTAATTGTTGAACTGGTATCCTAGAAGAAACTGTCCACAGGAGCCGAAGCAGAAGTCTCTGATGCTGGTGGAACAGGCTCCGACAGGCCATGGTTCATCCCCTTTTAAAACCAAATTTTTTTTCTTCCGGCATACAAGTATTTTTTTTAAAGAAGGAAAGAAAAAAGCCTACATTGGCATTGAGTTCTGTATCAATCCATGTTACCTTGCCACCCATGATTTAAGACTGTAGAATCTTGAATAATCTATATCACTTTAACAAATAAATGTTTTACTATGACAGAATTTGCACATTGCCTGGTTTGTGGAAATATCAATTGCTTCCAGTATGAATGGTGAAATGATGACTCTAAGAACTAATCATATTTTTTACGTTTATGTCGTACAAAACCTTTAGGAGATCACAATTTGCTTTATAATATGGGAGCAGTTTCTTCCATGACTGAAGTGCACCCACTTCTGGGGGAGACAGCACAGCTGTTTTTTAAACAGCTTTACAGCAATTCTATGCTTCAGTGTAAGCAGAAATCGATGAGGGATCTCTTCTCGTAGCGGAACGTCAGAAAGTATCAAGGCAGGCGTGTTGTAATTAATCCAAATTGATTCAATGCTTTTCTGAAGGGCCAGAGCAAAGAGGTGTTAATAATTGCAGGCCTTATGTTTCATTTCAAGTGCCCATTTCTCCAATTTTGCACAATTCCAAGGCAAATAAAGAAGAAAATACATCTGCTTTAACTCAAGCATAAATAGGAATAACATATCTTTGGTGGCTAATAGATGTTAATAGAGTCATATGTAAGAAGTTTCCAAGCCTGACATTTAAGAGCTGGTCCTGGTTCAAAGTCTAGAGCTGAACTAATGTAGCCAGTTACCCACTCTACTCTTCCATATTCTCACAGGAGAAATATTATCAGAAAATTTGAACATGCATGTAAGCTTATCACTGTACTTGGTGTAAGCAGAACGTTCAATTAAAAATATTATTAGTAACATTGTTATTGGCCATTGAATTCAGATTCTCCAAAACATTAGAGATTTTATTTCTGTTCCTTGACAATTCTAGTAGTTATAAATCATTAAAAGCAATATGTGGCTTAAAATTTTTAAAAATTAGTTAAAACTGAATAAGCCAGAAAACTGTTTGTCTTTCAAGAAATTTGGGTTAATCTGGTAACCATCCCACATCTCTCAGATTCTTGTAAATGTCCAGCCATCCGAAGAGAGGTTACAGAATGCCAGCCATTGGATGGTGCTTGGAATCTGTGCTCAGGCGCCTGACTACACAAGACAACAATTTAAACGTGTGCATGCACACACATGCACACACACACACTCACTCCCAGACACACACAGTGAGTGACTGAAGCAGAAATAGCAGGTTTGAATTAAATGCTGTAGTTAACTTGTGACCTTGGGCAACAGACTTCATTCTCTGTTTCTTGGCAACTCGAAGGCCCTGTAGCACTCCTGTTTATGTGTGCATAAGTGGATATATGCATGGATAAATGTTTATGGTGTCAAAAAAGAGACAAATTGAACAATAAGCATTGCCTCTGGGAATCTGTTCTTCCTCTTGTGTACAACTTTTCTCCACAAACATAAAGTCTCAGGAACACAAACGGCTTCCCTGGATCTCAGTGCAGAGTTTAACCTTTGAAGGTTTCTCTTGGGAAAACCTGCTAGCTTTTCTTCAAGGACATTCTCCTGTTTATCCTTAAATTCCCTCCGCCCCCTCCGACCTGCTTCTTGTTTTTCTTGATGACAACCTAGTCATCTCTTTAAAATATGCACGCTATTGTGTTCCAAGGAACACAATTTTTAGTCCTAATTTTAGTTGGAACTAAAATTGTACTTAATCACCTCAAGTCTTCACCCTGCATCCCCTACACGTAAATTGAAACTTACATTTATATACACTTTCCAACAACAGTCACCAGGCACTCATAGTGTACATATTTTCTCTTATTGTTGAACTGTTGTTTGTGAGGAAGACTTGGGCACAGTCTCTGATTCTAGAAGAGTGGAATAATCAAGTGTTTTCACGGGCAGATATTTACTCCTTGTCCTGTGAGATTAGGAGAACACAAATGTATACTCGTAACTAAATAGGATTAATGATCATTCACAAATAAAAGTTTCGAAAAAAGTGACAATATAACATTTTCAGGATCAGTGGGAGCAATTTCTTTTAGCTGAGTCTCTTATAACGTCATAGGGGTGCTCTAATGGATGGTAAAAAGTCTCAACTGTAAGTTATTGGACATGCATTGGAAACCACTCCTGTTTTTCCTATTACTCTACATTCTTGAGTAATTTTGGAAGTCATGTAGTTGCTAAAATGCATATGTTCTAATAAGTATGAATATCTACTGTACAGTTTGGGACATATCTTACACACGAAGTGTTATAAACCACATCAAACATATACACAAGAAAATCAAATAAAAGTGTTTTGAGTACAATATAGGTACAGCTTGTGAGGCATGAAAGTGGACTGAAAATTATAGTTAATATTTTGAAAATCTACAACTATGATTTTTGAAATGTGTAAGCAGTAGAACTGAAGATTAGTAATAAAGTACCATTACAGGTTGAAAGGAATAACTTACGCATGGAAAGAGAGCTCAAATAATTTTAATTTTCCACTTTATTTCTAACTTAGTAGCTATTTATTAGTTTGTATAAGTATTCGTTGTCTGTTAAATTACATCATAAGCCATTTCGTGTATATGTAATTTTTATGACGCATTCTTCGTTTGTTTTGTCCAAAGTATATTTCTTCTTTTACTCTGCTTTCTATGTGTTAGGAACTTATTCCATTTTTGTTTCTTTACTTTTCTTTTTTATTTCCAAAATTTGTTTATACTGACGTCTCATAGATCTACTTGTCAAATGGTGTGTGTGTGTGTGTGTGTATCATGGCATGCGTAATTATTTAAAAATGCAAGTGATGCAGAATATATTATGTACAACCAAAGGAAAAGTCCCTAGTCCGTGATTGTTTTGATATACAAATATAACATAAAGGGAAGTTATCTACACTAGATATTTTATTAAAAAGTTTTTTTATTATTGGAAATATATATAAGATTTGACATTTTAATTATTTTCAGTATATTATTCAATGGCATTAATTACATAAATAGCGCTGTGCAATCGTCATGACTGTATTTTAAAAGCTTTTTTCTCACCCCAAACGCAAAATCTGTACCCATTAAGCAATAGTGCCTGTTCCCCCTACCTGTAGTCCCTGGTAAGCTCTGATCAACTTTCTCCGTCTTTGACTTTGCCTATTCTAGATATTTCATAGAAGTGAGATCATACAATATTTGTCTTTTTGTGTCTGGCTCATTCCACTTATTAATGTTTCCAAGGTTCATCCATGTTGAAGGGTGTATCAGAACTTCATTTCTTCTTATGGCTGAATAGTAGACCATTGAATGTATATATAACACATTTTCTGTATCCATTCATCTTTTGATGGACACTTGTGTGGTTCACGCCTTTTGGGCACTGTGAATAATGCTGCAGTGAACATTGGCATACAGGTAAACATTTGAGTTTCAGTTTCAGTTCCTTTCGCTGTATACCTAGGAGTGGAGTTGCTGGGTCATATGGTGAGTTTTACGCTGAGTTTTATGCTGAGTTTTTTACGGAACTACTAAACTGTTTTCCAGTATGGCTACACCATTTTACATTCACTCCAATAATGCGCGTGTCCATGGTTCCAATTTCTCCACATTTGTAGTTTTCAATTTTTTAATAGTCATCGTAGTAGGTGTGAATTATCTCATTGTGGCACTGATTTGCATTTTCCCGATCACTGATGATATTGAGTTTCTTTTCATGTACGTGTTGGCGATTTGTATATCTTCTTTGGAGAAATGTCAGCTCAAGTCCTTTGCTCATTTTTAAATTGGATGGTCTTTTGTTATTGAGTTGAAGGCGTTCTTTATATATTCTAGATATTAAACCTTTCTCAGATACATCATTTGCAAACCTTGTTTCCCATTCTGTGGGCTGTCTTTTCACTTTCTTGATATTATCCTTTAATGAACAAAAATGTTTAAATTTATAAAGTCTGATTATGTATTTTTTCTTTTGTGTCTGTGCTTTTGATGTCATATCTAAGAATTCATTGCCCAATCCAAAGTCATCAAGATTTACCCTATGTATTTCTCTGAGAGTTTTATGTTTTTAGCTCTTGTATTTAAGTAATTGATCCATTTTGAGTAAATTATTATATGTGGTTTAAAGCAAGGCTCCAACTTTATTCCTTTAGATGTGAAAATCCAGTTATCCCAGCACCATCTGTTGAAAAACTATTCTTTCCCCATTGAATGGACTTGGCAGGCCTGTCAAAAATCAATTGACCATGGATGTATGGGTTTACTTCTAGACTCTATATTTTATTCTGTTTGTCTATATGTCTGTCTTTATGCCAATATTACAATGTTTTGATTATTGTAGCTTTGTAAGTTTTAAAACCAACTGCGTGAGTTATCCCAACTTTGTTCTTCTTTTTCAAGATGGTTTGGCTATTCTGGGCCCCTTGCAATTCCAAATGAACTTGAAGATTGGCTTTTCTATTTCCACCAAACAAAGTTGAAATTTTGATAGGGATTGCATTGAACCTGAATCACATTGGGTAGTCTTCACATATAAGTCTTTCAATCCATGAACATGGGATGATTTTCCATTTACTTCTGTCGCTTTAATTTCTTTCAACAATGTTTTGTAGTTTTCAGTGTGCAAGTCTTTTGCCTCCTTGGATAAATTTTTTCCTAGGTGTTTTATTCTTTTAGATGCTCTTGCAAATAGAATTGCTTTCTTAATTTCCTATGTGGATTCCTCATTGCTGGTATTAAAAAAGCAATTGATTTCTGGATATTAATCTTGTACCCTGCAACTTGGTTGAATTTGCTTATTAGCTCTAGTAATTTTCTTGTGAATTCTTTGAGATTTCTATATATGTAGAATCATGCCCTGTGTAAATAGAGATAGTTTACTTCTTCCTATCCTATTTGGATACTTTTTATTTCCTTTTCTTATCTAAGTACTCTGGCTAGAAATTCCAGTACAATATTGAATGGCAGTGGTGAAAATGGGCATCTTGGTCTTGTTTTTGATCTTAGAGGAAAGATTTCAATCTTTCAAGATGAGTATGATATAGACTGGATTTTTTAGAACTGACCTTTATCATGTTGAGGAAGTTCTCTTTTCTTCCTTGTTTCCTGGTGTTTTTATCATTAAAGGGTGTTGTATTTTTTTCAAATAACTTTTGG